CAGTATGTGGTTCTTACATTCAAAAGATGAGTTTAGTTAGGAAATGATGCAAAGTCAATCCCGTTTTCAGTTCTACTCCATGAATCAAGCTTTAGCTAAAACATGCATGCCGTTTGAAACATGAGCAATATCTAAGGGAAAAGATGTGCCCACACACAAGACGAGCTTGTAAAACAGTTTCTTGGGTTTGTCAGAGCATATGTGGTCTCTTCGAATCTACTGTAGGAGGACCTCCCAACAAGAAAAGGAGGGAATACCCCGGGTACTATGTTTGTAACAGTAACTATTTTTGACAGTATTTATGAGGCAAACCAAAGAAGGGTTGGATTCTTAAACATGGATCTGATTGTAAAAGCTAATTAAGGGCTGGGCATTACATAAAATTAGAAGGAAAGTTAGAGTCATATATCTAAATGAACTTGTTAAAGGTTAGTGGATTTTAACATTTGATTCGCAAGGATGTTGAACGTGTTTCAAAATCATGAGAAAATTCAGTTCTTTCTTTGCGCTTTTTCTAGGAACAGTTTTTTCTCCGTGCTTCCATGTTAATGGGATTTTTGAACGTGATGTATTCATGCAGGGACCTGTCCTACAACTTTTTCAATGGATCAATCCCCGAAAGCCTTGGACAGTTGACATCACTGCAGAGACTGTATGATCATTTTGCGTAAATATATCACAAGTTTTCCTTTTAAAAAAAAAAAAACAAAAGAAAAGAAAGAAAAGAGAAGGATGTAGAATTTGTATTAATATGTCTTCATCCAGGAATCTTAATGGCAATTTGCTGTCCGGAAGGGTCCCTGCAACACTAGGAGGAAGACTTCTGCACAGAGCTAGCTTCAAGTATGTTATCAATGGTTTAAACTTATTTAGAAGATTCAAATATGTTTGTGCAATTTATTCCCCCTGCTTTTTTTCTTGTTTTTTCCTTCCTGGGTGATAATCTTTTAAATCTGCACCACTACACTTGTACATGGCTGCAGTTTCACTGATAATGCTGGCCTGTGCGGTATCCCTGGATTACGTACGTGCGGATCTCACCTTTCTGTCGCTGCTATAATTGGCATCGGACTAGGCGCTTCTTTAGCATTTCTAATTCTTGTAACCTGTTCAGTTTGCTGGTGGAAAAGGCGGCAAAATATCCTCCGAACTCAGCAAATTGCAGGTAAAGGCGTTCATTATCTATGAGTTCAACTATCAAAACATCATCTGTTTATGTTTCATCGCCGTATGATTTATGATCTTCTACCTATTTTATGGCATCATGCTTCACTTAAAATGGAAGTATGTAATACTGAAATCACCATGGTATCTAAACATCAACACTAGATATATTCATCATGGTCGCCACTGTTGGCATTGTGCAGACCTGGCACCACAGAAAATTTTCAAACTTGTGACTTTCGACATTTGGTTATAGTACTGATTTCAAGTATAATCAAACCATCTTGAGAGGTGTTGAGAGATCCAGTTTATGTTGGAATGAGAACTTATGTTGTGTCTGTGATTTTATCTTGCAGCAAGGGCTGCACCATATGCAAAAGCAAGGACCCAGTCATCCCGTGACATCCAGATGAACAGGCATACTAGTTATGGCAATGCCCGCAACGCTGCTGACACTGGCCCTATCTTGCTTTCTTCATAACAAAGCCCATCAAGTCCTATTCTTTCTCTGCCTTCAGTTACTATATCACTCTGAGCAATCTCCCTCTCATTTTGGTGGGCTTGGATGGCACATAATCTGGTCTTTTGGTGTAGCTGTCGTCCATTCTGTTTTTCTACTGCAAATTGGACCGCTTCTACAAGCTTTGTAAATCCGAAAATGCTGTACATTGCTGTACTCCCTTTCGCTGTTTCTTCGACGTTTAAAGCTTCTTTTTTTTTTTTTTTAATTTGGGGCGGGGGTTGTCTAATATTTGATAATTAAACTTTAGCAGATGAATAAACCTGAAGATGCTGTATCACTTTACTGATTAATTGAAAATAGAATTCCTATGTTCCTCAGGTTAGAAAGATCTAAAATTTATGTTAACGTAGGCCGTTATGCCTTTTGGGGGCTTCGTACCCGAACCAAGATCACTACTTTTACGAGTGACCTGCATTACTTTTTAAATTATTTAATGGTTTTTAACATACACCAAATGCCATCGAAATAAGATTTTCAAAAGCCCCTGGTCATGTCAATCTGGTGCTTCACAGTTTAAGTTTCACTTCTGGTATCGGAACAAGGGACGTAAAATTTGGTGTTGAACAGATAGGCAGTGCTATAAATTTCTTATCTGAACTTCAAGTTTTGGGGTGTGCCAATGTGTTGATGAGAGTCTAGCTTTGTCCAATACTTAGCACGGGTTTGGATCACTCTGAAAAAGATCATGTGTAGGTTTTATAAAATAAAATTCTTTTGACATATCCAAGCAATTTTAATGACAAATTGATATATAAAGATACATCAAAATTAAAAGTAAGAGCTAAAAATACTTAATAAATGGGAGGAACATAGGTGGGGGAGGAGGTGGTAGTGGAAACATGGGAGGGTCGGGGGGAAGGGAAGAAGACGAGACAGAAGACAACAAAAGGGGAACAAAAGAAAGTGTGCGTCCTATCAACAATGGCTTCAAAAGCCGATGCAATTAAAAAGTAAATATTTTTTGTAGACATTTAAAAAAAAAAAAAAGAAGACACACGTGTCTGTGTGCAGAGAATCACCAAACATGGTCCCTCCCTGACAAAACCACCGGCCACACCCCACCATCAAACTAACAAACAAAACACTCACGCACTAAATACTACTGGTTCCGTTCTTTATTATAAGAGACATTTGATCTTTATGGTATGTTTTTATATATAAAAGACACTTAAAAGTTGTCTCTATTTTTTTGTATTGATTTCCTATTTTACCCTATTTATTTTGTCTCCAACTCATACTCTCTCTCCCTCCACTTCTCTTTCTTTTAATAATTTAATTGTTCTCTCTCATACTCTCTCTCCTTATTAATGGGGGCATTGTTGGAAAAAATATTATACTTTTTACACATTAATTGTCTTCAACTAATTTTAACTGTTTTTTTTCTATCAACGTAATTTGGTTATTTGTCTCTTATAATAAGAAATGGAGAGAGTAAAAGCTAAAAACTTACTGTTCCTAATTATAAGTTCCTCTTTTTTAATAGATTTATTTTTTTATAATTTTTTTTGAATTTGTCTGAATATTTAATGTATTGTTACCTATTTTACCTTTAATAAATTCTTATATAATTCTCTCTCCATACATTCTCTCTTTATTTATCTCATTATTATTCGCTTATATTTATTACGGATATATTTAGAAAAAAATTACATTTGTTACGTATTAATGCTTTTAACTAATTTTAACTGTTTTCTTAAAAGCTCAATTTGAATAAAAGGTACTTATAATTAGGGATGGAGTAGTACTGTATTTAACAAATTACTACCTCCGTTTCTTATTACAAGAGTTTATTAGTTTTTAATTTGATTCTAAATATAAGACTCTAATCTATTATGTCTTTCATATTCATTCATTTTTTTAAAGTAGCCTTTGAAATATTGCACATATAAAATGTTTCATATAATGTTAACTCTAGTTAATATACATGATTACTAAAGGTATTTTAATAAAGACAATACCTATTTATAATAAGTAACTAACTTAACTAATTTTTTTAATCTTTTTAAATTAATTAATTAGGTCTTATAATAAAAAAAAGAAGCAGTAATATATAAATTGGTAAAAAAACGAATAATAGCATTCACGTGACCATTATTACTACCTTCCCCCCGTTTTTGTATGTTTATGAAATGTCAGGTTGGTGCAGTCATTCTCAGTCTCACACTCCCTTTCTCTCTCACCGACTCACGTCACAAAACCACACATACACACACCCCTATAACTTTCAATGGTAATAGTAGAAATAAATATAATACTCTTCCGATCCTTAATATAAGACCCATTTGATAAATTTGATTAAATTAAAAAGTTAGTAAGTTGGTTAATTATAAAAAAAGTGACACATTTTTCCTAAAACACCATAATCATCTTTCTTAATACCCCTCTTCCTCTTCTACTTAATTATGGTTGAGACAGTATCTATAGGGGTAATTTAGAGAAAATTGATAAATATAGGGTCTTATATTTAGGATCAAAACCAAATTAAGAATTGGGTCCTATATTAAGGACAGGAAGAGTATAATATTCGCTCAAAAAATATAGAAAAGTGAATATAAAAAAAGTGTCAGAAAAAAAGACAGGAGGAAGCGAGTCAAACACGCCATCCAGATACACCCTTCTCGCGTTTCAGTCCCATCCCATCTCCCTGTTGGGCCCACTCCTTCTGTTCCCTCCTCCTCAGACACTGCCACCATCCTCCCCCGACCTTTTTTTTTTCATTTTGCACCTTTTTAAATTTATAAAATTTCCCCACTGATATGTTTATTAATTTTTATGTTTAGTAATACAAACTCATATTAATTAAAATTTTAAAAAAATATACTGTATGATATGTGTATTTTTTTTAGTAATAGTATTATACTAGTAGTTCCGTGTGGAAAGAATAATAAAAATGTCAGGAGCGTAAATTTCTCTGTAGGGCTTACGTCACTCACATGATCCTATCATACCCTCTTGCTGCGCCCACGTCCGAATCCAATCGGGCGGCGGCTTTTCCTCCGCTTGGGTCCCACTTCCCTCTTCCACGCGCTTCTTGTTTGTTCGCGTGTTTTTCCGTCTTTCTAATCTTAACTGTTCATTTTAACATGCCTCACCATCGGACGGCTCTCCCCGAATTCCGCTTTTTTTTTAAAAATCCTGAATTTCTTGAGCTTTTCTTCTGTGTGCGCGCAGATATAAGGAAACGAGGGAAAGAGAAAAGAAAACAAACGGCGCCTAGTGTTGTGCCGCCCAGCCGACGATTACGGGAGGCTGCGTGGGTCCCCCTTCTATTTCACCCACTTCCTCCCTCATCTTTCCCCACCTCGCTTTGTGAAAGGCTTTTGCAGCGAGTGTGTGAAAGAGAAAGATTATACTAACGAAGCTTCGTTTCATTTCATGGCTTCTTCGTCTTCGCCTTCTTCTTCCATGTCGCGCGAGGGTCACTACAGAGGGGTCAGAAAGCGACCTTGGGGTCGATACGCCGCCGAGATTCGCGACCCGTGGAAGAAAACGCGCGTTTGGCTTGGCACGTTTGACACTCCGGAAGAAGCGGCGCTGGCCTACGACGGTGCTGCCCGTTCCCTCCGTGGTCCTAAGGCAAAAACCAACTTCCCTGCGGCTCCGGTGGCCACCGGAGGTCTGTCCCTCGACCTCAACGCCCCAACCTCTGATCATCGCTGGCCTCCCATTCCCTCCGGTCGCCTCGTGCTGAACGAGCTCCTCCACGTGGGTGTTCTCAAGGACATGTCTTTTGATCATCCTCCGCCTTCTTCCCCTGCAGCACCCATTGCAATGGTTCACAACCCGGCGTGATGGTTCTGTACCCGTGGACGGAGGTCATCGTCAGGTGACGGAGAACTCTCCCACGGCTTCATTTCTCGGCCTCGTTCGGCGAGGCCTGCCGATCGACTTGAACGAACCTCCTCCCGTCTGGCCTTGAACGGGCGTTTTGTATCCTAGGGCATTTAGACGATGTCGCTTTTAACTGTTTTCATCCCCTGTTTTGTTCATCCATTATGTGTTGTAACCTTTATTATCATCATCCGAGACTCTCAGAACCCAGTACTGACAAGAATATATTACTCTATCAAAGCTATGAAAACATGCCATGTATATATATTTATTGTTAATCGCCATTTTAACTGTGAGTTTTCATTTCTCCCTTCAAATGGCGTTGTGGTTTCGTAAAAAATGGGTAGAGCGGGGAACGACCGCTGCGGGGCTGGGCCGCCGCGAGTGGCACGCACGCGCAACTAGACGGGGAGTGAGGGGGAAGTTGTCTGGGAAGCGGGCGTGTGGGTGTCGGCATGATGGCATTCCTTTCAGAGTCAGGTTGGAACAGAGCGCAGATTCTGGTTCTGAAGATGGTAGCAGGGCATTAATAAAGCAGGCCCGGATGAGACCCACCCGCTGTTCAGCGCGCGTATTGTTTCGGGACGTTGTGGGGTAGTAATCAATCGTATGATAATGCGTATTAAGCGTCACTCGGATAAGTTGGTATCACCTGTGAACAGTATAGGAGTACTCGCCAAAGGATAAACAAACAAATAAAGCTAATGCATAATAAATAATGTGTTAAGTGGGCATATGGTCTGAAAGAGGATTCGGATTCCGCAACGTTGTTGGATTAAATTATAGTGCAGGCTTTATAAACAAAGTGGCTTTTTTCAGGTTTAAAACTCGCCCCGTGTTTTGAATTCGGCCGACATGAAACCAAGCATTTGTTTGGGGTCTACAAAATGAAACGTGGCCACGCCACACTTGTAGGTTGGAACTATGTTTTGTCCGTCAAAGCCATATGCCCGTACGTACATTTGAGTTGAAATGATCAAAACCCAATTTATTTCTTCTCTCACAAGCCGCCGAGCTCAACTGGCAGTACTGGATTGTCGAATCTTTTGCGGTTGGGATTGAGCTTGTGATAATGGGTGATGATAGCGGGAAATGAAGCTAGCTGGGGACGTAGACGTGGTACGTCCTACGTGAACCACATGACTGCGTCGTAGAGGGAAATAAGTATGAGATAGGATGAGGGTAAGTAAGTGGGTTTGACAAAACATGGTCGTACGTCAAAGTCAAGAAAACCAAGGGAAGGTACGTAATTGGGGGGAAGATGTCATTGAAGAGATGGAAGAGAGGAGGAGGGGTTCAGAGTTAGGAGGTGACAGAGCACATATGAGGATGTGTGATGATGTCAGGAGTGGTGGATGGAGCTAGTTGTGAGGAGCATTAATTGCGCTTAATGGATCACTAAAATACGAGACGACATAATAGTACTCGTACATAATAAATTGGGAATAAAATATGACTACTCGTACGTCACACTCATCAACTTTCCGTATTTTTATCAATTGCCGTCTTAGAAACCCAGTATGCGGTGTCGAAAGAGATGGACGAATGAAAATGATCAAGGTTTACACTAATATTCTGTACCTATTTAGAAGATATTTTACATTTCTTCTTATAATTAAAAAATTAAACCTTTATAAATAAAATTTAAAAAATTATATATATACTATTTTACTCCTCTTGGTCAGAAGTATAAGACACTTCTCGAAGTGTTTCTAAGTATAAAATCTTTTATAATATAAATTATACTACAAAAATGTGTCTTATATTTAAAATCGGAGGAATATAATATGGCAAAGTATTTCATGGTACATTTGATCTTATTTCTAATGCATCTAACATCTCTTCTTTTTTTTTTTTTTTTTTAACATCAAACCTTATCTTATTTATAATGCGCTTTAGCTCTGGCCCTTTTGATCTGTTCTTGCCTGAACAGGGTATAATCTTTTGGCTTTTTAATTATGAAATAGAATTTCCTTACTCCATAGATAAGCATTTGCTCACAATAGAAAGTCCGCGTCATCTCAATTGTGTGAATTGAGGTGATTGAATTTGCACCAACCGGACCGTAAATTTCATAATTGTGAAAGAAGAGTGATTGGATGGCGTAAAGGAGAAGGGGTAGAGTGGAGAGGAAAGAGAGAAATGGAAATGGGGAAGTAGGACACGTGGGCGATGAAAGCGGTGACACAAAAGACAATCGCAACGTCCGGAGGCGGATAGGCACAGCCCCCTATCCGATCCTAAGGGTGTTTGGATGTCATAATACAATTAATATGAGTTTTTTTTGCTCAATCGATTCCAAGGGTGTTTGGATATAATCAAATCATAATTTGAAGAATAATTTCTAAAAATAGATTCTAAAAAAAATAGATTTTGTGAAGAATAGATTTTATGAAAAAGTGATTCTGATAAATTAGAGTGTTTGGATAGTTGTTATCAGAAGAACTTTTATATGTATAAATTTTACTAAAAAAGGATAAGTTAATATGATATTACATAAAAGATAGATTTTATAGTATATTTTAATTGAAAAATAAAATTGTTAATAATATTTTTTTACCAACATATTAATAATATAATAATATGTACATATATTTATAAAATATAAGATTAAATATGTCTAAAAAAATAATTGAGGAATGTTAAAATCATATTGTCGTTAAGATCTACTCTACAAGCACAATCATACTCTCCCATTTGAGCCAGAAGCAGAATAAATTCACTTCTTCTGAAACCATGGTTTTGATCCAAAACCCATGGTTTTTGTTTTTTCCTGGTTGTTGGGCAAGTCTGGGGACCCAAACCATGGTTTGGGGGTCTCAAAACCTGATTTTCTTGTTATCCAAAAAAACCCTAAATATAAGATTTTTCTAAAGATCGGAAGAGTATTACATTACAATGCCCTTGTCCTTGTTTTTCTTGCTATTAGGTCAAGAAAATTGTAATTCAAAATAAAAATAAAAATGATGTCATAATACAATTAATATGAGTTTTTTACTTTCGATTGTATTAAATAAAAAAGGAGAGGTAATTAAAAATGTGGCACTAAAAGCAACTTTCTCGTTTTTAAGGGTAAAATAGAAAATTTCTATTTTTAAGATAAGCTTAATTACTAAACTTTATTTATTTTTTTTATATGTAAGAAATAACTTATACATTCTGGTTCTATAATTTGTCATTTGAAAAGCTTTTCACATACCAAAAAAAACATTAAATAGAGAAAATCTTTTACTTTATCCTTATTAAGGAAGGAAGGAATTAATAATTAATACTCTCTCACATATTCTCCTCTCTTCACTTTATTATACTTAATTAATAGAAACAGAATTAAAAATGAAACATTAAAACGAGTACAAGTACAAAAAAAAATTTCTTCTACAAATGACAAATAAAAAAGACATGAATGGTTAACTTTAATACCAAAAGAATCAAATAACTAATTTGTAAATATTTAAAAAAATGTAATTAAATTAGTTATTATCTTAAAACATTCTTATTAATCATGTTGTAATGGAACTACTGTTTAATCAAAATCTTTTAACATGAGCAATCATCATAAGTGCTATTTTATGAGAAGTGAATAAATATAATAGACAAAATAAATTATATTTTTATATTATCTCTGGTCTTATAATTAGAATTGATCATCTAACTTTTATAAATGGATTGTTGTATTTTCTAGAATAATACATTACTACGTACAAATCTATAAATATCGTTAAAATTTAAAAGCAATGTATTTGTTATCTGTCGTTTTAATTAAGAAAAAAAACGAAGGACGCAGAAATAGAAGGAAGAAGAGAGTGATTATCAAAGAAATAAAGAGAGGGGGGGGGGAGGGCCGTGCGTGTGAGTGAGTAGAAGAGGAGAAGAAGAGGGTGGGAAAATGGGAAGCACGTGGCAAGATAGTGGGGAGATGGGACGGCCTGACGGATCTGATGGCGGAGGTGACCTCACCCACTTACACATCGAATAGCGGGTTTCTGCGCACACCACACCACGACTCTTCAGTTATTTATTTGTTCCAAAATAACTAAATGAAAAACCATAGATAAAGCAGAACGCATTATTACATACAACAACGCATGGTCGGCGGCTCTGCTTCTCCCCCATCATCATCAGTGGCTGCGCCGCCGCAGCAGCCCCACCCGACTTTTTTTTATTATGAATTACTTAATTACCTTTATTTTTATTGTCCTTTTTAATCATCTCTGTAATGGGCCTCATTCTTCTGTAATAGTTACTGTCTTATCTGATTCTAATTATAAAATCTATTTATAATTATAAACGAAATTTTATAATTAAAATCAAAAGTAGTATAATTTCATGATCTCCACTAATATTTTTAATTCATTAAATTAAATTCTTCAATTTTAAAGTGATTTTCAAGCAATAAAAAGAGGCCATTGGTCCCTCAAAATTATACGAAACATCATTTTTTTTAGTTAACTGTTTTTTTTTTCTTTTTAATCTTTAACCGACTCTAAAACTTCCTTGCCATATTACAAAACAAAAATTCAATAAATCCTCTCAGTACTCAATTAATATCAGTTAACTCTCTAAAAATTATGAAATTTCACTATACTCCTTGACAAATTTTTGTTTTGTAAACAGACAAAAATATCCCTAATTTATTTGAGTTGTGAAAAGGCCTCTTTTTAATACATAATTATAAAACCATTTTTTAAAATGATAACCATGGTAGAAAAAGAATTGAATTAGAGTGTTAAAATACTACCATGGTTATAAAGAGTTTGACTTGTTTCAAAAACATCCCAAGCGGCTCAGCATACATAAAACACCCACGGGTTTAACAACACACGTAGAACAAAGCCTCAGGGCACAATAACCTCCCACAAGCTTAACATAACATTCATCTCACAAAGACTTAGGACACAAGAAACATAGGGTGCTCAACCCAGCCCACAAGTCATGCACATAAGAGTATCACATACAGCAGAGTCTTATGGCCTTCATCCATTTTAACAACATTCATCAAATACGTCATCCAAACAAAAGAAAGTATACGTCAACACAGTCGTGGGCCCTAAAATGGCAATATACATAACATTACATGCCTAAACCAGAAGAGGACTACTAGGCTATGCTCGCCTGCCTCTGGTTGCTTCCTTTCAC